ACTTTTCCAAGATTGATATCAGCTTTTCCAGCGAGGAAGCTTTTGAGGAAGGGTTGTTGTGGTTATGTAGCTTGTGTAAAGGACACAAGTAAAGATGTTGTAGAGTTCGAAAATATTCCTATTGTTAGAGAATTTCTAGATGTGTTTCCTGAAGATTTGCCTGGCTTGCCTCCTGATAGAGAGATTGATTTTTGTATTGATTTGATGCCTAGTACTACGCCTATTTCTAAGGCGCCATATCGGATGGCATCGTCTGAATTAAAGGAATTGAAAGCACAGCTGCACGAGTTGTTGGATAAAGGTTTTATTAGACCCAGCGTTTCGCCTTGGGGAGCTCTGGTTCTTTTTGTGAAAAAGAAGGATGGTAGTATGCGGCTTTGCATCGATTATCGAGAACTTAATAAGGTGACGATAAAAAATAAATACCCTTTGCCCCGGATTGACGATTTGTTTGATCAACTTCAGGGAGCTCAGGTATTTTCTAAGATTGACTTTCGTTCTGGGTATCATCAGTTGAAGATAAAGGCAGATGATGTACCAAAAACTGCTTTCAGGACGAGGTATGGCCATTATGAATTTCTTGTCATGCCTTTTGGATTAACAAATGCACCTGCTGCTTTCATGGATTTGATGAATAGGGTGTTCAGGCAATATCTTGATAAGTTTATTGTGGTGTTCATTGATGATATTTTGGTGTATTCGAAGAGTTTGGAGGAGCATAAGCAACACTTGAGGTTTGTGTTGCAAACTTTGCGTGAAAAGAAGTTGTTTGCTAAATTCAGTAAGTGCGATTTCTGGCTTGATCATAGAGAATTCTTAGGCCATATAATCTCGAAGGATGGCATTTCGGTTGACCCGAGGAAAGTTGAAGCAGTTGTCCAATGGAGTCGCCCTACCAATGTCACTGAAGTGAGAAGTTTTCTTGGTCTAGCTGGCTACTATAGGCGGTTTGTGGAGGGATTTTCTAAACTTGCCGATCCACTTACTCGCCTAACTCAGAAGGGAGTTAAATTTGTATGATCTGATCAATGTGAGCATAGTTTCCAAGAGTTGAAGAGACGGTTAGTGTTGGCTCCTATATTGACCTTGCCTTCAGGTACTGGTGGCTTCACAATCTACTGTGATACATCTAAGGAAGGTTTAGGTTGTGTTCTTATGCAGGATGGTAAAGTTATAGCCTATGCCTCTAGACAGTTGAAAGTACACGAGAAAAACTATCCCACACATGATCTGGAGTTAGCAGCGGTTGTGTTTGCCTTGAAGATATGGTGGCACTACTTGTATGGTGAGAAATGTGAAGTCTTTACTGATCATAAGAGTTTGAAGTACATCTTTACTCAAAAATAATTGAACATGAGACAGAGGAGATGGCTAGAACTCTTAAAGGATTACGACCTGTCTATCAATTACCATCCAGGTAAGGCAAATGTAGTAGCCGATGCCCTAAGTCGTAAATTTTATGGAAATATGGCTACATTGCTCACTTCTCAGAAGCCTATTCTTGAGGATATGAGGAAGTTGGACTTGGAAGTATTGGTACAGCAGTTTGGTACTCGATTAGCTAACCTTCAAGTACAACCAATGTTGATTGACAAAATTAAGGCTAAACAGAATGGGGATCCTCAGTTGGGAAAGATTAGAGAAGGAGTAGAAGCTGGGAGACAAGAGGACTTCAGTATCCATACGGATGGGTCATTGAGGTTTCATGGTCGGCTATGCGTTCCTGATGATTCGGGATTGAAAAAGGAGATATTGCAGGAAGCTCATAGTACGAGATTCTCTATCCATTCGGGAAGCACTAAAATGTATAGGGATGTGAGAGAGAATTTTTGGTGGATCAACATGAAGAAAGATATCGTGAAGTTTGTTGACCAGTGTTTGGTTTGCCAGCAAGTGAAGATTGAGCATCAGAAACCAGGTGGACAGCTACACCCACTGGAGATACCTCAGTGGAAGTGGGAGCATATTACCATGGACTTCATCGTCGGTCTACCGGGCCATCTAGTGGTAAAAACGCTATATGGGTGATTGTCGATCGATTGACTAAATCTGCTCACTTTTTGTCATATCGATTCGGTCTTTCACTTGAGGATATGGCGAAGCGGTATGTTAATGAGATAGTGAAGCTTCATGGGTGCCAGTGAGCATTGTTTCTGACAGGGATCCCAGGTTTGTGTCTAACTTTTGGAAGAGTTTGCAAGGAGCATTGGGTACTAAACTCAACTTCAGTACGGCTTTTCATCCGCAGACAGATGGACAATCTGAAAGGACGATTCAGACACTAGAGGATATGCTAAGATCCTGTGTTATTGACTTTGGCGGTTCGTGGGACAAACACCTTCATTTAGCGGAGTTTTCTTATAATAACAGCTATCATTCTAGCATCAACATGACTCCTTTTGAAGCTCTATACGGTCGAAAATGCAGAACTCCCGTATGTTGGGATGATGTTGGTGAGAAAAGATTAACCGGCCCAGAGTTTATTTAGCAGTTAGAAAAGAAAGTCAGGGTGATTCGAGAGCATTTGAGAATAGCACAAAGCCGTCAGAAAAGCTATGCTGACCTCAAAAGACGCAAGGTAGAGTTCAATGTGGGAGATCATGCATTCCTCAAAGTCTCTCCAATGAAAGGCGTTATGAGATTTGGCACTCGTGGTAAGTTAAGTCCAAGATATGTGGGACAATTCTTAATATTAGAGAAGATTGGTGAAGTTGCTTATAAACTGGCTTTACCACCAGCGTTATCGGGCGTGCATGATGTGTTCCATGTGTCTTTATTGCGAAGATATGTGCCAAATCCTGAATATGTGCTTGACTTTACACCTTTAAAGTTAAAGGAAAACCTATCATATGACGAGCAACCAGTACGCATTGTTGATAGAAAAGATCAAGTGCTACAACAACGCACTATTCCTTACGTAAAGATTCAATGGCAAAACCACACCGAGAGGGAGGCCACTTGGGAGCTTGAGGAGGAGGCAAGACGCAAATATCCTCACTTGTTCGATGATTGAGGCACGTCTAAATTTCGGGGGCGAAATTTTTTTAAGGAGGGGAGAATGTAAAATATGGGTCCGAAAAAAAAAAAAAAGTCAACAAGTCAACAAAAGCTACAGTGGACTCTCGGCCAAATTAAAAAGGAGGCCGAGAGCTCCTTGGCTGAGAAAAACAGAAACGGAAAAGAGGAGAAAGGAGAGGAAAGGGAAGAAGAAGAAGAAAAAGAGAAAAGAGAAGAGGGTTTTGCACCGCGGGGGTCTCGCTAAGCCGATTCAACTTCGTAACGCAACGCTCCGTAAGTATTCGCACCCCTCGTTCAATTAATCGGAACATTTTTCGGGTTAGGGCTCGTAATTCGGAGTTATGTGTTATTTGAGCGGCGAAGTCAGATTTTTGAGTCGTGGAGCCGCATATTTTTATAGAATTGGTAGTTTATGGTGTTGTGGAGCCGTGAGATTTTACGGAACCTGATTTGGACTTACGGTTTGCCGGATATGAATTTTTGAAGTTGAACGCGCGCAGTGAACAGTGCACGATCAGCAGCTTTTAGGCCAATTTTCGTCGGTTTTCGGCTCGATTTTGGGGCTGCCAAGTTGGGGTTCCTGTAGTGCTCCGAACAAGCTTTCTTTTGACTATAAACTTGCTTGGATTGGAGTTTACTGGAGAAAGTTATGGCGCAATCAAGTTTTGCGCTTAGGCGTCGCATTGTGGGCGATTTTGGATAATCGCGTTAGACGAGCGTTTTGAGGGTGTCTTTTAGTCGTTATATTAGCGTCTAAGCCTAGTTGAGCCGAGTCGTAGTTGAAGTAACATTTTACTCGGTTGTGATACCGTTTTTCGACTTATTGTTAGGTATTCAAGTGCGTCGGCTCGAGAAATCGCTGTAGGTTAGTTTTTCAGCTTTTCAAGGTGAGTGGTACTATTTCTTCTTTGAATTTGTAAACTCATGTTTAGAAAATGATATGTGTTAAACATGTTACCATATAAGAAATGGCATTTTGATTGCATAAAATTGGATAGAGCATTTGCTGCCATCTTGTGTATTTAAAATGAAAGATTATCTTTTGATTTCGGTTTGAATTTACTGAATGCAAATAGGTTTGCGAAACCTTTTGAGAAAGACTCATGAGGAGTTCTTGCATTTGAATGTGGCTTATAAAGGGTTTTATATCGGTTTATGAAATGGTTTATGAAACGATTTCTGAAATGGATTTTGTAGATTGGTGGATGATATTGTTGTGGATTTTGGTGTTCAGTGTCTCTGTGAACCCAAATGAGGGGTTGTGGGTATGCACATACTAGTTTAGGATATCCTTGTGGGCCGAGCCACCGGCTTATAGTAGGTGGAGACCTTGCCAAGGGGGGAATCTTGGTCGCCTTTCACGGGGCGTTATCCGTGATCATACTTAGATTTCTGAGCATGAGATTGGCCAATGGAATGGACCATTGGCGTGTGCTTTTCGACGAGATTGGCCAATGGATTTGACCATTGATTTCTTCTTTGATATTATTAATTGGAATGAGCTTTCCTATTGTGAAAATGTGATGTTTAAAGTAGTATATAACGTATTTTGAACCTAGAGTTAGTTATATGTTGGGTTATTTGAGTTTTCGTTTGGTCTTACAACTGTGTGCATAGTAGGTACTCGATCTACTTAGAAGAAATGTATTACTCACTGAGCCGTGGTAGCTCATTCCTCTCATCTTACTTGTTTTTTAGGTTCTTCACCGAGACGCTAGTAAGCGTGACAGTTCCGGTGTCGGGGAGGACATTTTGATAGTTGGGACTTTTTGGTACGAGTTACACATAGATGTGGAGTTTAAGTATTAGCCTGTTGCTAGTTATGCTTTTGGCCTTTTGGTGGATTGTAGTTAACTCTGATATTGTAACCAGATAAACTCTATATCATGTATATATATGTGGATGCATATATTATGATATTATGTGAGTTTCGGTTATGTTTAGGCTGCGTCCTTTTGTGAAAGGATGGTCGTGTCATGCCCTTATTCTTGTTGAGTTTGGGGTGTGAAAGAAACTATTTCCGATAATCCCCCAATCATGAACGATTGAAGCCTCGACATGGAGCGTGGTTCATTACTTTCGCCTTCCGGCAACTTCAAGCTCTTGCAGCCGCCAATCATGAGAACCTCCAATGCCTTCAGATTCTTGATTCCTTGTGGTAAGGAGGCCAACTTCGGACACCCTCCAATAAGCAACTTGCGGAGCGACGTGAGCGATTGGATATCATCGAACAAGGCCTCCAAATTCTCGCACTCTGCAATGAATAGCCACCGCAGAGAGGTCAAGCATCCTATTCCCCTCTCCGGGAAACGCTGCTGTTTCGTGGTAATGAACAAAACGCGGAGGTTGATCATATTCTTGATGTTTGCAGGCAGTTCCTTGAGTTCCTCGCACCTGCCAAGATCTAAGTACTGCAGATTGCGAAGCTCGCAAACCGATTTGGGGAGTTCCTTGATATTGCAGTTGTCGGTTAAACTGAGACACCTCAAATGCTTCAGACCGCCAATGGAACTAGGTAGTATGTCAAAGCTAGAGCCACGTAGCCATAGCACTCGCAAGTGCTTGAATCGCGAAATGCATGTCTCCAGAAAGAACTCCTCAGAGGCAGAGGATCCCAACCCCTCACATATAATGGTGCGAACGCGGCTCAGTTTGTAATAGCAGCGGCTTAGTTCATCTTTTGGTACACGAGATGGGTTGGGAAATGATATATGCCGAGTCCTCGGGGAAATATCCTGCGTCCACACTTTCATGTTGGACGATTCGGTTTGTGCCACCGAAATGGCGAGTTTTTAAATGAGGTCATGCATTCTGAAGGACTGGAACGGATATTCGTCCTCGACAACATCGAAGAAGGATCTTGACCGCAGCTCCTCCAAGTACCGCCGTCCAATCTCTTCCAGCTCCTGACTATTTCCGCTGGACTGGATAAACCCACTGGAGATCCACAGTTGGATCAGATCAAAGTTTTCGAACTCGTGATTCTTCGGGAATATCGAGCAATAAGCGAAACATCGTTTCAAGTAAGACGCCATTAGATCATAACTTATTCTTTTTTTTTTTTTGTAAGGGTAAGGTATATATTACTTTCAAATCACCAAATACAAAGGAAAGCAAGAGACTAACCAAGTTCCAAAGGGACTATACAAATCCAAGGGAACACGGAAAGCTCAACCACAAAAAGATAAAGGAAGCAAGGAAAAGCTATACAAAGGAAGGCCAAACCAGCCCAATTAAGAAAAAATGGAAGGTGATAGCCCCCAACTCCTTTGTAATCTCCCATTCAATGGCGTGTCTGCAATTCTTCCAAGGGTTGAAGCTTTATCCTTCACCACTTTGATCATATGATTGCGCATACCAGGGATGAAAATACTCTTGTTTCGGAAGATAGAGTTGTTTCTTTCGGTCCATATTATATGACAAAGGGCTCCAAGTGAGAACCTGGAGAGACGATGAGCAAATGATGATCCTCCACAAACCTTAATCTTAGTGAAGGTAAAATATCAGTTTGTAATTCCCACATCTCACTATCTCTTACATATTCCCAATTGCTCCGATCGTTTTTTGCATACAACAAGCTTCCCAAAGCCTTCACCGCCATAGGATTTCCACTGCACTTGCTCACAATTTCCTTACCGATTTCCATGAGATCCGGGTGATTCTTCTCTTGCCCTGGATTGAACGCGTACTTCACGAACAAAGTCAAAGAATCCTCCCGCGAAAGCTCAGCCAATTTAAGCGATGGGACAGTGCCCATGATTGAGGCGATCGATTCATTACGCGAAGTCACGATGACTTTACTCCCTTCGGAAACGCCTTCTAACAACTCTATCAGTTCCGCCCAAGCCTCCCGTGTCACTTCCCACACATCATCCATTACAAACAAACACCTTTTGCTCTCCACCATGCTTCTTAGGCGGCTTTGCAGCATGTCAAGTTTATCATATTTTTCTTTGTGACCAAGAGACTCAATGATGTCTGTTATTATTTTCGTAATCTGGAATTTTACTGGCATGGATAACCAAACTAGGCAATCAAAATGGTTTTTTATCCCGTCATCATTGTAAACCAATTTAGCAATGGTCGTCTTTCCAGCACCTCCCATTCCAATAATCGGAACAACTGCTATCGTTCCAGCTCCACCATCATCTGATCTTATCAACAGCTCTATTATTTTTTTCTTTTCTTCCTTCCTTCCAATCACTTTTGAAGCGGGTACAAAAGAACTTAGTTTTCTCTTTATTGATCTCATCAAGTCTCGTTCTCAGTTCTTTCATCTTATGTCCCATCTTCAACTGGAAAATGAAGTTGGATAGCCACGAGGACAAGTAACGTACCTTCCTTTTGAGGGTCAAGTGCTCCGTCGACCTTGCCCGCCTCAACAAAGCTCTGGCTTCGAATTCGTCTAGCACGTCCTCGGCATCATAGCAGAATTCTTTAAGCTTCAACAACCAAAGCCTCACAGCTGCCTCTTTCGTTTGCTTCTGCTCAGCATCGGCGAGCACCTTCTGGATCATCTCTAGCGTGCTCTTGAGCTTCTCTCGGTCATCCTTGACGCCCCATACCAGTTGAATTTCTTCCACAGCCGACGAAGCTAGTTTCTCCACAAGAGGTCCGAGGATGCTTGAGACGACCTCAGTCATGGTTGTGATTGGTGTTAGTGGCTTTCGAGGAGGTTTCGCGTAACCGCAATGCAGGAACTAAACTAGTTATTAGGAGAAGGATAGCAAAGAAGCATGATTTTACCAGGTTATATAGGCAGGGACTAGGAATACACATGGTGCAATGGAGTATGCGCAACGTTATTCCAAACTGTTGCATAGTTCACTCAATTCTTGGTGGAAATCTGCAAGTAATTCGATGCCGTTCCATTTAGATTTGGAATACCTTATCTGATGAAAGATAAAGCAAAAGTGGTCTGCATTCTTCTACCTTTCTCTCCCTTTAATCTTTACTGCATTCCTTTCTTTGTTCCTCTGTTTCTTGCAAGACAAATATGTGCACAGAGAAGAATAAGCTCCTTTTCATTGCTTGATCCCTGTATCAGATGCCCACTCTTTCGCCCTTCTACAGGAATGAGAATGATTGGTTTAGAAGTATGTGCTGTTTTCCTCTGCTTTGAAAATTGCAGAGGCTTCTCTAATAAGCGAGAGTCCTGGTTGGTGATCCCAGTGCTTTTTGGGGAAGGGATCGTACAGGCTATGCCTTCCTTGTTCTTCCCTGTTCTTGTTATATTTTAGCTGATCGCAATGACTTATAGCTTTATTCGATGCTATGATTTGCTGGACGTTTCCTTTTTCTTTATGATTTCACTCTAATTAGCAAGAGTCCTGGTTGGTGATCCCAGTGCTTTTTGTGGAAGGGATCGTACAGGCTATGCCTTCCTTGCTCTTCCCTGTTCTTGTTATATTTTAGCTGATTGCAATGACTTATAGCTTTATTCGATGCTTTGACTTGCTGGACGTTTCCTTTTTCTTTATGATTTCATTTCCATAAGATTTTGATAGCGCAAATTCTATCGAGATTGGAACTTCATGATGTTCCTTAATCGCGCAGCACTATTTCGAACTTCCATTTAGCCTAACATCCCCTGGCTTCAGAAAACTTACAGAGATCACGGAGTATCATAGCAAGTGCGCACGCAGGAAGTAGCCAAGAGATTGAAACTTGGAACTTGGATGGGGTGGAAAAGAACTATGCTTGATGGGAGTCACAGAGATCTCTGAGAAAGATAACGAAAGCAAGAAACATTTCTATAATAAGCTTAATCCGTGTACCTGCACAGGTTAGGTCTTGCTGTCAATGGTACGAAACTGAATGTATTTTCGGTGTTCAGCAGGTTGAGTCTTGTACTCTTTGCTTGCAAGGTCTTCTTGATCCTTCACTAATATGTCAAAGGGCAACAAAGAATTGCTCAAACAAATAAAACGAAGAAGATACGATTGCTTCTCATTCATTCTTTTGCCTCTTCCAGCTTGATTCTTGTCAAGGGTGGGATGCCCACAAAAGTGTACTTTTACCAGTCCAGATTGCATCTTTGTTACTGCCTACAAAATACCGTGATTGCTGGCCGAATTCGAGAATGTGCTTAACAAAGCAACTGTTGTCTAACATAAGAAGACCATGACCACACTACAATTACCGGGAGAACTTGAAAATGCAGCAGATAATATACATGGCAACCATATGGATGCCTCAACATCTAAAGGCGGGGCACGAGTGTAACCGCTAGTTGGCTGCCAATGACTGCAAATCGGTCAATCAGTGATTGATCTAAACATATGTTCCCCTGCATTTTCTCTTTGATACTTTCTTCTCTCTTTCGCTTCACCACAACAAACAAGGCAAATAGGGAGATGACTCTTTGGTAACTGTTGAGAGTCGAATCACATAGCAATTAAGCAATTTTCAGATTAATTGATCATAGCAGTTGAGATGAAAATTGCAGGGTTCTGCAATTAAGTAATCATTTAACATAAGATGATTTCTCTACAAAACTGGTGCTTAGAAAAATGTTTATGTCAAGCCTTATGCAGAACAGTGCGTGTCTGAAAGGCCGATACAAACTGAGCACTGTAATTTCAGCAAGTACATTTCTGCAAAGGTACTTCCTTCTATAAAACTCTGTACAAGATCAATCCATCAACTGTCTCAACAACCAGGTGCTTCATGCGAGCAAGCAGCAGCAGATAGGATCTTGCCTTGGGCCCTGCGATAAGCAGTAACAATGAATTATCTTATGTGATTAGGGAAAATACCACTATAAGACTCGATGAGGAAAAAGACTACGAGGATGGCTATCCATATTTTGGTATAATAAAGTTTTCAGAGGGCATCAAGTTACGGACAACAGGCTTGTTGAGGCAAGCACACGTCAGTTTGCAGCAAATGCTTTCATGGTCACTCAGAAATTCATATCACTATTGACGTTATATACGCACCCAATGTCAATGATGATATTTCGTCTTGAAAGAAGCTCTTGTTTTCCGAACGGTTCTCTTTCTTGCACAGGTACGAGTTTATCTTCTCAATAGCTATAAGCAAATCCTGCAGAGTAAAATGCACTAATGCAAATGGCTTGGGACTAACACCAGATCTCTTGTCAGCAAATTACAGCACCAAAGGAAACAGAACCTTGCAGTGGGAAGACGATTTTACACGTCAAGAGTAACATTTACTAGCTTGCCAATGTGCTAATGCTAGTTAAACCATCTAACCTACTTCATTTCCAAACTTCTCTGGGAGGCTGTACTGGTAGGATTAATTCAAACAAGCAAGCACTGCTAACCCCAATGGTCTTATGCCAGCAGCAGCTTAATACAAATTAAAAGTTATTGCCTGCAGTGCATCTACTGAAAGTCTGAGACAAATACAAAGCTAAAGTTAGAGTTTCATACCTCCCATGATGCAAGACTTTTCATGTAGGAAGGAAGACTTTCGTACTCATCTTTTGATGCCTTAACTACAGATTTTGGACCTTCAACTGGTTTCAAGTGTATCAAATCTCGTAAGTATAAAGTCTGGGAGTAGGTTAGCCGATGACCCATGCAAATATTTTGTATTAGTACCTTCAATTGCCCCCAAGTTCACTGTAGCAGGTTGATATTGCCCCTCCAGGTCATGGATCTTCTCCTCTTGATTTCTAATTGGGATGAGAAGGAAGATTAATAGCAGAGGAGGTTCATGCCTTAATGAAGAAAAAGCAAAAATGGAGAAGGAAAAAAGTAGACCGAGAAAGAAGGAAAAACTCAAGCATGGACCATCATACTTTTGTGGTTGTCTCGAACATAGATTTGGCTCAACAGTCTTACCATTAGCTGAAAATGATATAGAAGGGAAAAATTGTTAGATAAAACTGCTTGAGTAATAAGGAATTCAACTGCCTCCCAGCAAATTATCTCTCTAATCATCTCAACAAGGACAAACTTGATGTTCCGAATGACAATGAAGAGATATAAAAGGAGCAAGCTTGTACCAAATGATATTCAAAAGGACTTAAGGCACAAAGCATGTCTAACACATCCTTAAAGTTCCCTCACCTTCTGAAGCTAATGTGGCCAGAGCTACATCAGATATACCAAGTCTTTTCAAGCTGATGGAGTCATCAAATCTAGAGAACTTCAGGAAGGACAAATAGACAAAAGCTAGCACTAGTATACCATAATTGACCATGTTTTCACTTTTTAGTCAATTAGGATGAAAATTTGCATATTGCGAAGCTGATATATTGCATCACTATTTACAACTTGGATATAAAAAGGCAGCACCTATACCATCAAATGCAATGGCTCAGTGGCAGGAGTCGACAGTACGTAAAATCTAAGTCACAACAGAGGAAATGCTGTTCAAGATTATTTTGCTGGCACCAGCATCAAACACAACTACTAGAGCTGACAGGAGATGGATTCATGGATTTCGAGTCAGTCCACTGAGGTTGCTCTTGCCCTACTCAGGGTAGACTCATGAAAAGGGCCTGTACTCAAAGCAAGCAAACCATCTAGTGATTGTTCCTAAGGGATAGAAGCTCTGGCCAGGTATGGAGTCTCTAGCCAATTGATCTATCCCTCCTAACCTCTTCAGCTTAGAATTCTACAATTTGCCAAATATTTCAGACTTTGATCAAAGAAAGTTGATATATCAAAATCCGACAAGGATACAGAGAATCTTCTTCAAAACACTTCGTCATAGAAGCCGCTGCAGTAAGTCGCCCCGAACATGAAGATGGCAGGTCAAATCCATCATTTGCTAGTGGAAAATTAGGATCAAGTTCGAGAGGGCTCGACAAATCATCGACCATACCTTCTTCAACATCGTCAACATCTACAAAACAAAACCAGGACATTAAGGTCTGCAGATAACTGACTTGCATGATTTCATTCCTTTCAACTCCTACTTAATTTCATTATCCTTTCATTGTCGGCC